CATGCTAACAAGCACACCAAAAACCTTCCAAAACGCCACGAAACATACCACAAGCCTCACTGAACATCTCCTTGCTACCGCAATCTCACCCACAGGAAGCCGCGACCTCGTGTCAGCAGGGAAAATGGCCGCGTATCCTGTTCGTACCCCGAGGCGGAGCTCACAAACCGAAGCAAAATTTTGTGGCTGGAGCTGGACATAACCCGAAAAGTTCATTAACAGAAGCGTTTGTAACCTGAGATTCCACTGTATGTGCACAGACATATGTGTTTATTTTTTAATTTATTATTAAATTGATATGCTGCCCATCTCCCCCAGAGGGTAACTGTGGGCGGCTTACATTGTTTATATACAACGGCCAGAGACCACACTCCAAATAAGGGTAGTATTAAGTTAACATTAATTGAATTAATGACTATCAAATAATGTTATTAACAATTATAAATGGAAAGAATAAAAGCCAATACAAAAAACAAAAAATACAAACAGAAAAATACAAATAAAGGGGGAAAGAAGGGAGGGGCATGGAAAGGAAAAAAAAAGAAAAGAGAAAAAAGAAAAAGAAAAAAGAAGTAATGCCCTCCTTCATCCCAGCAAGCAAAGACAAATTTAATAAGGTAGTCCTTGCTTAATGACCATTTGTTTAGCGACTGTTTGAAGTTACGATGGCGCTAAACAAGTGATTTACGACCAGTGCCCAAAATTATGACCGTTGCAGTGCGTTCGCGGTCACACAATCTTGATCTGGGCACTTGGCAACCAGCTCACATGACAGTTGCAGTGTCCCAGGGTCACATGATCACCATTTCCGACCTTCCCAGTTGCCTTCTGGCAAGCAAAATCAATGTGATTTGCTTAACTGCAGTGATCTGCTTAACAACTGCCACAAAAAAGGTTGTAAAATGGGTGCGGTCACATGATTTGCTTAACAACCACATCACTTAGTGACCTAAATTCTGGCCCTAATTGTGGTCGTTAAGCAAGAACTACCTGTAGCCTATCACCATCTCTAAGTACAACTCTTCTTCCCATAGCTCATCTCTTAAGTAAAAAACAAAATCCAAATGCTTCATCAATCGTTCTTTGTCAGCAAAAGTCCAGTAAGGGCAACCAGATATAACTATTTTCCTCGTAGCCCTGATTGAACAAACCGACCTTGTATTCCTTCCCAGAGTTTTTTATTCTTTAGCCCCTTCAAAGAGAGTCCCAGAGGTAGTTTGCCAGTCATCTGTGTTTCAATGAAAAAATATTTCAGAACTTTAACAATTTTCTTTTGTATATCCAGTAAGAAAAATACATCCAATCAATTTCTTGGTTTGAAATCTGTACATGCCCTTTAGGGAATAATTCATCCATTAGATCCATTTGTGTTAAATTTAAGTCCCCCTTCCAAGTAGTTTCATAGACACCCACTGCAATTTGTTCTTGCTCTATAACTTCATTGCAACATTTTCTGTCCATCTTGTCAAGCAATTGATCCATTCTATTAAGAAGCTTAATAGAGAGATATTCAAACCGTTACAATATAGATTTCTGCTCCATATTCTTTATCTGCTCCATATTCCTTATCCTCTAGCTCCCTCTAGTGTTCAAACGCAAGGTCTCCTCATTGTAAGAACAGCCAAAACATTCTTATCGTAAAAAAGCCACAATAGCCACCATTTTCCATGAGAAAAATATCTTCTAATTAATTCAAAGCTATAATTCCAAATCCCTCTGGCTCCTTAATCCATTGTTAACTTTCCAAAATCCATAAACTAAGCACCCCTTTGCTGTACAGTCCAAGAAATCATAGATTTTCAAAACTTTTAGAATCAAATGTACACTACTGTCCTCTACTAATGAATACAGTAAAACCTTGCCAGTCCAAAGGGTCTTAATCTCTCCAGTAAAATAATAATAATAATAATAATAATAATAATAATAATAATAATAATAATGTTGTTGTTTAGTCGTTAAGTCGTGTCCCACTCTTCGTGACCCCATGAACCATATTGCGC